CCCCCGTCTTAAAAACTATTTGTAATTTGTATGCACACCAAAATACCCAACGAAGTGTGAGTGATTCGGTCATCTAACAAACGAATTGCCATCTTCAAACTTCACTGTAGAGGCATGCGGACGCGTCGGCTCGACGAGGCCCTTTCTATACCTCAACATACGTACTGGTTTATAATACAGTTAACGACATTCAGAAACTGCAGATAAAGAAGGTTCTCTGACGATGGAACAGAGTAGGAAAGGGCGAGGACGTCCAGGATCAGCTACTATTAGGTTATCCCAAAAGTTTGTGACCATCCCGCAACTTTTTTTTTCGAACCAAGTTTATTCCAGTGAGAAGCTATAATGGTCAATAATATGAAAGTTACCTTCATCGGCAACTTGTTGCCAACCACCAGGCAAAGAGTGGTTGCCTTGCTTCCAGAAGCTTCTTGGTTCTGTGCCCAGAAAGGCAGCTGGGTCATTTTTGAGGTACTATCAAAAATCGTATTTTTTTACCCAGAAGATGGCCGCTGTGGGATTAGTTTAGATGGCGATCGGAAAGAGCTAAGTCAGGGCTACACGAAGACTGTGGTGGAATTCCCCAGCTAAGCTTCAGGATCTCGAGCAGTGTCATTTTCGAAACGTGTGACCCTGAGCTGTGGTGGAGTAGGCAAACATTGCTCGGTTGTGGGACCAAATGGTGGGGATTTTCATCCCCCTTTGCAGTTGATTACAATAGGGTTCGCTGGTTACCACAGCGCTGAGAAGAAGAAATTCCCTTAAGGAAGGGAGAAAGAAACCCACCACATACACAGTCTCACCGCCCTACTGGATTGATAGGATTGCGCGATCGGTTCTGCCCTTTCTGGGGGATCTAGCCGCTGGCGCTCGGGAGTGATTCACCTAGAGGCACCCACTCCATATCCAGTTACAGTGCTGTTCAACCAGCCCGTACAGCGGAAGCGGGAGAGAAGTTGTAGACAGTACCCACATGTGCTCCCCACGGAGTACTGGTCAACACAGGAGAAAAATTTCGACCGAACAAAAATACGTTCAAGGGGGCAAGGACCTATGTCATTCATGCATTTAAAATAATCAGGTGTAAGGACTAGATAGCAAGTTGATTTGCACGTTTCAATCAAGGAACACAGTAGGTCCAAATCCAAGGCAGGTGGCCTCCCTGGACGAAGTTTTTCTCCCAGGTAGAAGTCACTCAAGCGAAAGCGATCGGGCCATTTCAACGCCGTACTGTGGAAGGTACCATCAGGACCTAACTCAGAGAAATGCCGCTTGTGGCTCCAACCACGTTGTGGCTTGGTGGAGATTCATATAGCGAAGTGTGTCGAAAATGATGAGTTTCAATTACCGTTTTTACAAGCAGGTGTGGATTGCGTTACTTAGCTACATTTCCTATAGACCACATAACTGGATTTCGAAATGGCTACGGAGGGAGAGATTCTAAAAATGGTCACGAACTTTTGGGACAACCATTAAAAAACGTCAGGTGTTGGAGAAACATTGGAGGAATGCAAAATATTGGTGTCTCAAATGGGGAAGGCTTGTGGATTACAGAATGCAATGAGGAAGACCGTCAGAAAAAGAAGAAAGAAAAAAGAAAGAAAAAAAGAAAGAAAAAAAGAAAGAAAGAAAGAAAGAAAGAAAGAAAGAAAGAAAGAAAGAAAGAAAGAAAGAAAGAAAGAAAGAAAGAAAGAAAGAAAGAAAGAAAGAAAGAAAGAAAGAAAGAAAGAAAGAAAGAAAGAAAGAAAGAAAGAAAGAAAGAAAGAAAGAAAGAAAGAAAGAAGAAAAGAAAGAAGAAAGAAAGAAAGAAAGAAAGAAGAAAAAGAAAGAAGAAAGAAGAAAGAAAGAAAGAAGAAAGAAGAAAGAAAGAAAGAAAGAAAGAAAGAAAGAAAGAAAGAAAGAAAGAAAGAAAGAAAGAAAGAAAGAAAGAAAGAAGAAAGAAGAAAGAAAGAAAGAAAGAAAGAAAGAAAGAAAGGGGGAAAAATGTGAGAATTACTCTTACAGCCTGTAGAAATGCCACCTACTGACGAACACTGAGAGGGCTTACCAGGAAAGGTCAGCAGGTCGCCATGGCCATACAGGATGAGATGCACATTACCGTGTGCATCTCAGGTCACTGAACTCGAATTTGTTCTCAGAATTTGGGGAATTCTCTAGGAGGAGTTAGGGGCGGTTGGGTAGGGCATGGGCCAAGATGTACGGAACACACATGAACTAAGTTAAGCCACCACCCACAGTGGGCAGTGCGTGCGCACAGCTGAGCTGCACATTTCAAAAATTCGTAGTTCGGTTCCAAAAGAGTCCCGAGAGTTGAAAAAGTGGCAAACGATAGGCAATCAGTTGGCGGACGAAATTAATGAAGCACACCCTGGCGGGGCGTTCGCCGGAGTGAACGGTGCCGAGGACAAAAACCGTCAAAACGCATCCGGCAATTTGGCAGATGAAGTTAGTGAGGGAATAACCGTAGGGAGGGGAGTATATCAAATGGTTGGTACCGTCGGCAATAGTTTATTCTGCGAATCCTCATCATTGAGGGGAGTGCCGCATAAAATTTTGATGACTGTCCTCTAAGGGGCGAGAAGTGATACGGTAAAGTGCGATGATTCCCAAAATAATATTTTTTCGACCATTCGGTCCAACTGGCCCTCCCTCTCATGGAAAACTTCTCACCGGGACTCATTTCACACGCGGGAGGGGGATCGGCCGGCAGAGCCGGCCGATCCGACTATTCACTTGTCAATCGTAGAAGCGACCTCATGCTACATCTTTCTAACCAGGAAAGGTCAACAGGTCGCCATGGCCATTCAGGATGGGATGCATATTGGCGTGTGCGTCTCAGGACACTGAACTCAAATTCGCTTTCAGAATTTGCGGAACGATTCTCTAGGAGGAGTTAGGAGGGGGGGGTCCAGCACAGTACCAGCCGAATACTTTCTGCACTAGCTCAAGTTTAGTTCGAAAGTCAGAAGTGACAAATGATCGATGGTGTAATGGGTAAGTAATTTGCTTCATAGATTTGAGCTCAGGAGTTCGATTCCTTGCCATGTTCGCATTTTCGCTTTTTTCCGAAGCGTATCCTGTGAGTCCAGAAAGAACGTCTATTACGTTATTTTTCGAGTTCGTCTCGTTTGCGGAAGGGATAGAGTGAAATGCCGGCACATCGTCAGTTGTGCTTAAATTTCGAGTCTTCTTGAAAAATTAGCTAGTTTTCAGATGGCACATGAGTGAGTCAAACTACAGCTACTGGGGAGCACATGTGGTATGCTTTCAGATCCGTATTTCTTCGATGGAGAATTATTCTCAGTCGTTCCAAAATTAACACGTTAACATGAACCCAATGGAATGTTCTCCTCCAAATGATATTTTGAAGCATGTAGCTCGGTATTTCATGGGGATGAAACTCATCTTATGAGTAAAGCAATCAATCCTCGACGCCGGGTAAGATTCTGCGTTGCCTATCCAGTCAACACTTGTGATATCTGATTCGTGGAGCTCTTTTGAAGTCCACAACCTTATTCAGTGGCTTTGTCGCCCGAAAAGCGTGTGAAAGTATCCAAGGTATCACCAGGTGACAGCCTTGTTTCAACCTTTGAAAAATTTATTCCTCCTATTTAAGTCGATCTATAGATGTTTCATTTCCTACGTAGTACATTCCGATATGAATGTCTCTATATGCAGTCATTACTCTATTTTCTTCTCTAGTTTATTTTCAACTTTGCTCTCCTCGATTCAGGAACTTTTTATCCTGCTGCTCTAGATAGTGGGATACTTTTAGCTCGTATCACCTGCTCATAACTAATTTTCTTCTAAATTGATGTGATTACACCAGTCAAAGAGAGTTTTCATTGTTGTGCTCACTAGGTGAAGCTGTTTTTCTTGACCATTTATCGAAAAAACACGACATGTGCTCTGGGTAGCTGTAGTTTGACTCATTCATGTACCATCTGAAAACCAGCTAATTTTTCAAGAAGTCTCGAACTTTAAGCACAACTGACGAAGTTGTGGTGTCTTAGGCGGAAGGGTGGCGCCTGTTGGTTCTTTGGGAGCATTTTGGCTCCCACAGAGTTCTTCTGTGTAAGCTATTCTGGGCTTACAAGGTTTTATTCACCTTAACAAAGGTGTTTAGTGGTAGAATAGAAGTCGAATGCTCACATATCTGGGCGTGCCTCTTTATTTCAGCGAGGTCACGCTCAACATCTGTTATGCAACAACAATCATCAAAGTGTACCGGTAATTCCAATGGCTATCTATACTACATCAAAGAGAATGCGGCTTCTGGGGATTACCAGAAACTCCGCGGGCACGGCAGAAAAGCAGAGCAACAAATATTGGTTTAAAACCCATGATGAGAACTGATTAGGAGGGAATGTTGCAAATTATACTAGTACGGTTACACGATTTAGTGGAAGTTGGTAATCGCCATTCGCGTGGGTTTATTCGTTGATGACAGCTGGATTATTGAGTGAAGAATTTGGGTGGTCCTGTGCGCTGCTGGAAGTTGGGGGTGAAGAGGCGCTGAAACGAGGGAACAGGTGGAATTACAAGCCTAGGCGAGCGAACGTCTAGCGGTAACTGTACATTATTACTGCATGCGGCCAATTGTTTGAATTGCGGATTTGTGGTGGTTTTTGCCTTGGGACTGTACCCATACAGAATAATGCAGTTCCTTCTTTTCAACTTGCAGTTACCCACACTTATAATCAATGTGCTGCTTAGTTTCAAGATGACTTTCTCTTGTTGTATTGAGCTTTTCTGGAAGATGGTAGTTACGCGAATTGACTCTCGTTGATTGTTCTATGTTAATGAGAAAATTGCTGATGAGCTCGGACCGTGACCCCTTGGTTTTCTTCGCCAGTAATTACGCTATTCTTGCTCTCAGGAGAGGATAGTGACCCAATATGACCACGGGCAATGTATCTGATATTAGAGCTGCCTTCAACACCATTGATCGTATTGTCTTTTCTTTCCCTACAGCTTGTTGACGTTGAGTTTTTGCAGGCTTACTTTGTGCTGCATTGTTTTCGTATATCATCGTCATAGTAAGATACGGCTTGATTTCTGTTCTCTTCTGCCTTGTGCGTATCTGTTGGTAGTAAGACGCCGCGGCCATAAAGCGTGGGACCAAATACTGTTTTTGCAATATGTAGACCAGATGGAGTACATATACTGGCCATGTTTGTTGTGACCAAATCGTAGTATCGATCGAGACCCACTAGAATATGTGGTACTTGTCTTTCGCCACGAAGATTGGAGTTGGCTAAGAAAAGTTCCTCTCTTTCGAGGAACCCTTGATCGCATCTTGTGACCAAAGCAGAACGGAACCCTTCCGATATGTTTGGACCAATACACTGATTTCTCTACCTTGAGCGGTACTAACTTTGAGAGGTACCAGGTGACTGTCAAATGTTTCGCTGTGTCCTCCAATCCCAGACATAGTGCAGGTATCGGTCGATATTTTCGGAAGACTAAGTCGAACAGCTAATCCTTCTTGTATCACAGTCTTCTGAGCCCCAGTGTCGAAGAAGAAAAATACCTTCTCGTACCGTTTAGACCGATGCTTATACAAATTCCCTTCTGCGGTCATAAGTACAATCTGCTCATTTCGCGTTAATTCGGCACTGTCGACGTTGGAACACGTGATCAGCGATTGGTTTTCGCTGTAGTTATTGGGTACCACATCGTCAGCGAAGTTCCCGCGTGGCCTGTTCACTGAAGAATGGCACGGCGATGAGATGTTGTTGAAATCGCTAGAATTTGTAACATTTCTAGGTAAGCGATTCTGTGAATGCTGAGGTTCTAAGTTCCCGGGAATAGCTTCGTATCTATCATTCAGTACGCATAGGAAAGGATGATGTGCGCTTCCACAAATGCTGCAGTTGTTTTCCTGGCAGGTACTGCTGGAATGGCCGTTTCGGAAGTACTTCCAACAAGATCTCGAGATCTCTTTGTTTTCAGTATTGCTCGACGAAGCTGGCAGTCTAACACCATATCACATGCGGCAGAATTATGGTTTGCGCTTTCGCAAAAGACACACAGAGCTCTCACTCTTAGGTCCCCAGTGTGTTTCCACAAAGAGTTTGGAAGATATTTCCTTTTCTAGTAACGCTATAAGATCCCCGATGGTGATATTCTTATTGCCTTGGTACTGCGCCAAGACGTCCTTCACTACCGTGTACGGGAATTTTTTAATCATTGTCTCAGTCCACCACTGGCGGTCACAATACGTATTAGCCCTAAATGTCGTAGTCAGTCGACACCATTTGATTCACAAGTGTTTTAATCGAGTCTAAGCAATCATCACAACTTCTCGCCCCGTCGGACGCAACATGCAAATCAAATAGTTCTGTACTGTCCTCGATCTTGTCTGATTGGCCGGATTTCGCCTAAATTATCCCTGAGAGTGTCGCTTATGAACCATCATAGCTCTTTTGCTATTGGCTGAAATGCCTTTGATGCCCTTCCTTGCCGCCTTCGCTCCTCAGAGCTATCTGTCTTGAGGAGAACAATCTTCTCAATAGTACTCAGCTCATCGCATGAATGTATTAACGACTCATAGATAGCCCAGTACTCTGGGAATTCTTCCTCATTACCATCAAATTTTGGTAGGCTAATGGTGGGCGGTTTTTCTGACCGCAATCTTGTGCTGCATGCTTGGTTAGGACCTTCAGAAGCTCCTTGGGAGCCATTTTTATGATGAGCGATATGGATAGTTTCGGTAGAGTTTGGCCGTTTCAGTTTTCTCTTCTGTGTCTTTGCTAGAATCCATTTTTACCCCAATCGTGCTAGCTGTCGCTTCGAGAGTGTGAATGAGTTTCAGGTTGCAGGGTTGCGGGTATTGAGATTCTTTCTATCTCTTAAATCTCTAACATGAGACATGATGAACTCTTTTTGATCGGACTTCTTCGCACCTGGCTTTCCATTTTGTCAACCTTTTCTTGAATAGATTCGACAGCTGTTCTTACTCTAATCAACGCCGATGTTATAAGAGTTACGTTTGCTATAGCCTTTTCGAGCAACTCCTCTTCATTTTCCGGATACTCTAGATTTTCTCCGTAGTAATCGTACTTCTTTAAAAGGCTAGATAGGGCTATGGCGCTAGCAAGAATAGATTTCTTGTAGAAGTATAGTGACATTCTTCTATATCAATAACGAATTTGCCTGTTTCGAGCAAATATTTTGTGGAAATGACGCTTGAAACAAGCAAGTATTTAGCTGCTTCTGAGCTTACTCTGAAGATCTGAGCTAAATCCAGTGGAAATAGAAAAGTGGTCGCTTTTGAGCGATTGTCTATGAATTCAAAGAATTCAGCAAACACCACAGCTGTTGTTGAGCGTTGGTCTTCGCAAACTTTCGTTCACGGTTTTAGGGCTAACCGAGTCCTAGGACAGAAGATATTCTGACCTTAAACGGCTTTAGCCGATGCACCAAAAAATGTGGTGTCTTAGGAGGAAGGGTGGCTCCTGTTAGAGTTCTTCTGTGGAAGCTATTCTGGGCTTACAAGGTTTTATTCACCTTAACAAAGGTGTTTAGTGGTAGAATAGAAGTCGAATGCTCACATATCTGGGCGTGCCTCCTTATTTCAGCGAGGTCACGCTCAACATCTGTTATGCAACAACAATCATCAAAGTGTACCGATAATTCCAATGGCTATCTATACTAAATCAATGAGAATGCGGGTTCTGGTGGATTACCAGAACAGAAGTGCCGGCATTTCACTCTATCCCTTCCGCTTCCCGAGACAAAATAACGTGGTAGATGTTCTTTCTGGACTCACAGGATATGCTTCCGAAAAAAGCAAAAATGCGAACATGGCAAGGAATCGAACCCCCTGACCTCCCATCTATGAAGCAACTTATCTATCCACTATCGACTTTCGAACTCAACTTGAGCTAGTGCAAAAAGTATTCGGCTGGTACTGTGCTGGACCCCCCTAACTCCTCCTAGAGAATCGTTCCGCAAATTCTGAAAGCGAATTTGAGTTCAGTGTCCTGAGACGCACACGCCAATATGCATCCCATCCTGAATGGCCATGGCGACCTGTTGACCTTTCCTGGTTAGAAAGATGTAGCATGAGGTCGCTTCTACGATTGACAAGTGAATAGTCCGGATCGGCGCGGGCTCTGCCCGACCGATCCTCCTCCCCCGCGTGTGAAATGAGTCCCGGTGAGAAGTTTTCCATGAGAGGGAGGGCCAGTTGGACCGAATGGTCGAAAAAATATTATTTTTGGGAATCATCGCACTTTACCGTATCACTTCTCGCCCCCCCCCCCTTAGAGGACAGTCATCAAAATTTTATGCGGCACTCCCCTCAATGGTGAGGATTCGCAGAATAAACTATTGCCGACGGTACCAACCATTTGATATACTCCCCTCCCTACGGTTATCCCTCACTAACTTCATCTGCCAAATTGCCGGATGCGTTTTTGACGGTTTTTTGTTCCTCTGCAAGCCGTTCACTGACGGCGAACGCCCCCGTCCAGGGTGCTGGCTTCATTCGATTCGTCTCCGCCAACTGATTGCCTATCGTTTGCCACTACTTTTCAACTCTCGGGACTCTTTGAAACCGAACTACGAATTTTTGAAATGTGCAGCTCACAACTGTGCGCACGCCCCGCCCACAGTGGGCGGGGCTTAGCTTAGTTCATGTGTGTTCCGTACATCTTGGCCCATGCCCTACCCAACCCACCCTTGACCCGCCCCCTCCAACTGGCTCTTCAGGTGATTCCGAATTTCCGGACAGACAGACAGACAGACAGACGTTGCCGTTTATATATAGTAGGATGCTACTTTGAGTCTAATTTCCAATTTCCAATATGAGGCAATCTGTGTGGGAACTCCTGGTTAATCTTTTGGAGGCCTTCCGCTCGCCACATCACGAATGGCACTCCAGTCCCAAATGGATTTTTTGTATGGGCCACTTTGGATAGAAAAACTTTCATTATCTAATCTTATAATTTTGAACACGACAACTTGCACAAGTCTGCGTGAGACAGTTTGCGTCAAATAGCATTCGAATTTCAGTCGCTGTAAGCTTGAAGCTCAGCTTGAAGCTTGAATTCCAAGTTCAAAGTTAAAGCTTCACGCCCGACACTTATATAGGGTCTGAGTATACTCCAGGGTCAAGCGTCACGTCGCGGAAGACTTGGGGGATGGCGCAACCCCTCGCTCCCCCGTACCCTCAAGAACGAGTGTCGTTGCGACCCCATCCCCCCTTAGTGACTGTGGGTGTGCGGAGGTCTCTTCTGTGTTCATCAGGATAAAGCTGTATATATTGAATGGCATACGAATTTCACCGAATGAAATTCTGAATATCTAGGAACATTTACCAAACCAATCGAACAAAAGCATTGGGAGTTTAGTTTCTCAGAAGTAGTGTAATGCAAGAAGTGAACTTTGAAAACTCCCACAATGGCGTTGTCCGAACGAGTTAACACTATTCAGCGTACCGCGGCTGCGTCGCGTATTGGGGCTAGAGGGTTACTGGCCTGTTGCATCCACATAATAAATTTGAAAGGGTATAACTCCATTCATGTCGCGTGTTCGCGCGTTTATACAAAATACAGTACGGCTTTCATCAAGCTTGTATGATGGCTTCTAATTAGGAAATAACGCGAAGAATTTTATATAGATTCACATCGTATTGGGAACTAGGTTTTCCCAATGATGAGCATTACATCTTGCTGCACACTGGTTATGGCAAAAATTCGCTTGTCGCGGATAATGACAAGAATCGTGCGTAGAATTTGAGGGGGACGCGAGTTTTTTTTTACATTTCGAAGACCTCAACTTTATCCAACATGATGTAGCGGGAAGTTTACAAGGCATTGGCAACCAGAAGGTTTCCTCTTTATATGAGCTTAATATCTTCGCTTTAGCTAAACTGTAGCAAAAATGCCCTTAATTAATCGGCATTTCTCTTCAAAACGTCCACATTTTCATCTAGAAAGCTCGTATGCTTTCCAAGCTACGTCGCTACTGGGTACTGACCTATGCAGATACCCTTCGAGGAGGGTCGTAACTGCTACTCAGCATTATTCGCCTTCTCTTTCTCCCCATCCACCGCTTTTTGGGCCTTTTCTCCCATCCATCCCCTCCCATGTATCAAATACACTAGTTCGATGTGATGAACACGTGCTCAAATTACAGTTGCGGAAGAAAAACTTGGAACCAGCTGCAAAATTGCGTTTCACCGTTCTCAAGCTCTTATTGAACAGCAATGCGGTGGGAAGGTAAGCAGATAGCGAGAATTGAATGAGAAAAAACTGTTCAGTGCTCTGAGTTCGGTTTCGTTACTACCCGACTTGATTAAAGCCTTCCATCCGTGGAATCGACTTCACAGAAGCAACAGAGGTAGGCACAGATGTTCAGCTCTGGATTCCTTGAAATGCATGGAGCCGCTCAATGTTGTTGGTGGTCTTCTTCCCCATCTCCCTTCTAAATCACCCGCTTTTTTGTTGGAGCATCCAGAAGTTTCAATTTACACTAGTTTCTTTCGTTGAAAACTAGCTATGATTCGAGAAACTAGTTCCTGTGATTATTCTGAGAGCTAGTTTCTTGTACTGGCCTTTGACTTATGATACCATGCGTGCGTATGCTATGCGCGCCCAGCGCCCGGTCACGGAAAGTTTTATGTACCTTTTTACCTTCTCTTGAATGATAACCGTAGCTTAACATCCAAGTTTGAGGGTTTCCTTGACTGTTGGTCGTAAAAAAACCACAGAAAGCTCAAATGAAGTTCGATTATGTGGGCGTGGAGTTTTACAGATGACAATGCAAGAAACTCACTCAAATTTTTGATAAAGTTTGCTTGTGCCAGCTCCTCGTTATTCCAAATTAGCATGATGGTAAGGAAACCCAATAGAAGAGCAGATACCGTAAAACAAACATCTAGTAACACGAATAGTGCATGATTATTCGGCTCCTTAAAAAAGCGGGACAGTTTTCTCTCAGGTCACCGGTACGGAAGCAACAGCGTTTTGATGAGTGCACGTAAATTTAGCTGACAGAATTTTGTTTCTTTCTGGGAATACTCAAGACGAATATTGATAGTGGAACAGCTAAAACTAGTAGAACTGCAGTGTAAACAGAAGGATGAAGAATATCTGTAATAAGACTTTCTGTAATTGGTGCCCCGCTTCTACAATGTAATCCTTCTGAACTCACATTTTTGAAAGGATTTATGTTTTCAAAAGCTAGCTTTAATTCGATCCTGAAAACACGCACATTGAGAAGGTACTTCTGTTCGGAGAACTTAGTTGCCTGTGGGTCTTTTTTATTTTCGATATTTTGGGTATGCATCAACCATGGTGATGAAATAGTTCCAGTAACTAATAAGACTCCGGTCGAACGTCTTCCTAGGATTCCAGAGCGTTTCGCTCTTTCCATCAAGAGATTACTTTGCTCTACTTGCATGTATCAAGCTCATCCCGGATTCAGGAAATGGTAAATTGTGCGGTGCGGCTCAAATAACTCATGCCAAGATGGTAAGTAACACAAACTGAAGCAAAAGTAGAAAAACCGGAGTAATTGACTCATATGAAACCCCTGGCGAACCGCGTCTGAACGTCCGTAATGCAAAGAAAGATCGTGGTCGTACGAGTTCTCATTCTTCGATGTCAGCTATTTCTCTTTATCGCCTCTAATCATTCGAAATTGAGAGAGGCAGAAGCGCGATAACCGCTCCATCACGTAGCATTAAAAAGTAAATGTTGGGTGCTGTCGTGGCCAATGGGCCGAGCCGCGGCTCCGTCGTTCAAGAGCCTCTGCCCCTCAAATGCGCACGCGGCGTACCTTTATGATGATGAGCGAACAGAGCTGCATGGAGAACGTTTGAGAAATAGCGAAAAAAAAATGACGCTGGCGTTCTTGAAGGCAGCGCGCGATTGCCCAACGTGCAGAAGCCCTTAGACCAAGTGAAGTGCTCCGCAACTGCGCAGGTGGTCTCTCTATTTTGGAGCTCGAAATTGCTTGGAATTAGTGGCACAGCTCTGCCATGCTTTCCGCCCCTGGCTTCGTCAGACGCTGTTTGTTTTGATGAGTTGGGATGCCTTGTA